TTAATCTTGGGCTTGTGCTATTTCATAAAATAATCTGATAAGTTAGCACATTCACTGCAGAAGAAATATATTAATAATGTCGTATTATATATATCTTGCTTATATGCATAAACTCTATTATATATTTTACACGCAGCTCAAGACAACTCCTTTTCACACAGTGTGGCCAGGCACAAAAGGTTTGGCACTTGTGATTTAGAGGGATAGCCCACACACTTGCAGGAGTGATATGTGTGTATATATATCAAAAGGCAGGAAAGGTGATGGCGACCAACCAGGATGTAATTGTGGGACTTGAACATGCTGTAAATGATATGGAATAAGGAGCAGATATTGCACTGTTTTCAGATGGGACAGAGTTGATTTTCTTCATAGTGTCTGGCTTTGGTAGAAAAGCAGTGTTGACAACACACCCATGATTTGTTTGTTGCTGAGCAGTGCTGAACAGATAGTCATACAATCCTTAGAATTGAAAGGGACATTTAAAGGTCACGTAATCCAATTTCCCTGCAGTGAACAGGGATACCTGTAGCTCAGTCAGGAGTGCAGAGCACCATCCAGCCTGACTTCCAATGTCTCCAGGACAGGGCAACCACCACCTCTACAGGCAGCCTGTGCCAGTGCCTCACCATGCTTATTGTAATAAACTTTTTCCTTATCTGACATCCAAATCTCCCCTCTTTTAGTTTGAAACCACTTCTCCTCGTCCAACCACAACAAACCCTGCAAAGGAGTCTGTCCCCTTTTTTACAGCCCCTTTTGATACTGAAGGCTGCTCTTCTGTCATCTCAGAGCCTGCCTTCTCCATGCTGCACACCCTCAGCTCTCAGCCTGTCCTTGCAGGGAGCTGTTCCATCCCATGCAGCATTTTTGTGCTCCCCCTGTGGATGTTCCAACAGCTCCATGCCTCTCCTGCACTGAGCACTGCACATCTGGATGCAGCACTGCAGGCAAACCAAGGACATTTCAGCTTCTCATACTGTCCTGCCAGCAAGGAGCTGAGAGGGGACTGTGCCAGGACAGCTGACCCCGGGACATTCCTTACCATATGACGTCACCTGAGAAAGCTTTAAAATGGATGGGAGTTGGCCGGGGGCAGCCAATGCTCAGGAAAAGGGTGGATGGCGAGCAGTCGCATTGTGCACCACTTGTTTTGTAAATATCTGCATACCATACGTACATGACATCATCGCTGCTATTATTTCTCCCTTCTCTTTCTCAGTAAATAATTTTATCTCAACCTACAAGAAGTCCTACTTTTTTTTTTTTTTTTTTTTTTTTTCCCCAATTCTCTCCCCTTTCTCACTGGGAGAGGGGAGTGAATGGCTGTATGGTGCTGAGCTGTCTTCCAGATTAAGCAACATGCGTGCAGAGCAGGGAGTGTGCTAACAGCAGGAAAAGATGTGACAAAGCATGGGGTTGCATTTAAGCACTTGTTGCACTTAAGTACTTTGAGACAGCAGAGGAAGGAGGATGTGCAATTCAGTTCTGGGATAGAGTTAAGAAAGAAGCAGGGCTGGATCTAGGATATCTGGGTTTGGAGTCTGAAATCAGCTGCCCTGTTTAGCGAAATACTTCAAGGGCTCAGGTGGCATCACCAGTCACCTGCACCGTGCTGTGCTACCACTTTCCACTTTCTTTCAGCCCCAGGGAGAGGTACCTCCACCAACGCTTCCCTTCATGGCTTCGTCATCAGTGACAGCCGTCACGGAGGCACTAAGAGCCCCAGAACCTGGAGGTTTGTGGCTGACTTCAAGACTTCAGGAGAACTTGTTCCGTTCAGGTCTTTAGGAGCTGCAGTTCGGAACCTTGGCACCAGAGGGCTCATGGAAACGCACGGCGCCTTTACAAGCCTCTGCATCTTCTACATTATTAACTCTTCCGTTCTTGTCACAGAAATCACAGAAACACCAAGGTTGGAAAAGACCTACAAGATCATCCAGTCCAACCACCCACCCATCACCAATAGTCCTCACTAAACCACGTCCCTCAACACAACGTCCAAACGTTCCTTGAACACCTCCAGGGAAGGGGACTCCACCACCTCCCTTGGTAGCCCATTCCAGTGCCTGACCTCTCTTTCAGAAGAGCAGTATTTCCTGACCTCCAACCTGAATCTCCCCTGGCGCAGCTTGAAGCCATTCCCTCTAGTCCTATCACTGTTACACGAGAGAAGAGGCCGACCCCCAGCTCACTACAACCTCCCTTCAGGTAGTTATAGAGAGCAATGAGGTCTCCCCCTGTGTGGTCTATTAAAGAGATTCCAGGAGTCTAGTGTAAAGGAATGATTTCAACATGAAATAGCAAGACATTTTCTTCTTTTTCCCAGCATTCTTTGTTTTTCTGCTTCAGGAATAAGCAGTATCAACAATCTCCCATTCATATGGATTCAGACTGTTGCATTTTAAGTCTGAATAGGTGGGGAAAGGATTTTTGTCAGATACTGTATGGGCAACCTTCATCCCAGCCCTCCTAACTGCCATTTCTCTCATCGGTCACATGGGACTTCCACTACTCAAGTTAAAATCTCAGCTTTTCCCACGACAAAGCCATTGCTGAATGGCTTTGCCTCCACATCAGTTCCCACCAACTCTGCTTGCAGAACTGCCTGCGCACAGACATGGGTTTCTTTGCATGAACAAAACAAAATGCATCTCCTCAGTTCACCAAGGATCTTTTTGTGGTAACCAAGTGCGTTCCTGGCATCCACACATCTCCTTGTGGAACCCAAGCACGTTTGTTAGCCACACAACCATCACTCGAGGGCACACAAGTACATTCCTGGAGCTTTTCCCCAGGGCAATCAATCAGCTCCTTGGAGCACACAGTTCTCCTTCTGCAAGTCCCATGGGGAGCCTAGCCACATCCCCGGGGATCACACCCAGCTCCACGCTGCAGCAAGGCACCTCCCTGGGCCGCACAGGGTCTGCCACATTGAGATGGTCAGCATCCTTGTAAACCCAGCTTTAGTGAGCTTGGCTGAGCGAAGGGCCGCCGCGTGTTTCTTCATTGCTTCCCTGCTGCCCCGTGTGGTCCGAATAGCAGAGCACCAATTGAATACACACCGCACAACTCATTAACAGCAAATTACTTTTTGCTTTTTGTGCTTTGAGATGTTGAAAATTACAGGCTGTCAGCACTGTGCAAGTATTCTGGATATTTCTTCTGCAGCGAGCCTGCCAACTCGTTATTTTACAAAGTCACAGATAACTTTAATGATCAAACGAGAAAACTTTCTTCTGCTTAATAACAACCATTAGGCGTCTTCACCAGCACGCACACGTGTAGGTAAGCTGAAACGCTGCTGTTGGAAGCAGGGATTGTGGGCATCAGTACCGGTAGTCACGAGGACTGGAAACGCCACTTCTGCGGCCGGGGCGACGAGGAGATCGAGGGGATCCGAGCCGCGGGCTCACGGGACGGCCATCGCGACCCCGCTCCTATCACGACCCGCCCCGGCCATCGCGACCCCGCTCCTATCACGACCCGCCCCGGCCATCGCGATCCGTCCCTGCAACACAACCCCCCATCACGACCCCTCCCTTCCATCAGGACCCCTCCTATCACGACCCCTCCCATCACGATCACGCCCCCCGTTCGTGCCGCGCTGCGGGCGGCGGCCCCGCTCGGCGGCGCGGAAGGGGCGGAGCTGCCGCCCTATGGCGGCGGTTTCGGGGCCCGCCGGCAGCGCGGCCGGCCGCAGCAGCGTCCCCAGGGCGGGCAGCCGGTGGAGGTGAGCGGGGTCGGGCAGTCGGCGCCGCCGCCGTCGGACCCCGGCCGGCCCCGCTCCCAGCGCCCGGCCCTTTGTCTCCCCGGCAGGTCGCGGCGCCGCGCTCCGTCCTACTGCGACGAGTCTCTGTTCGGCAGCCGGCGCGGGCAGCCGGCCCGGGCGCCGCGGATGGGGAGAGCGGACGTGGCCAAGCTGCACTCCCTGCTCTGGAGCCCGCCGCCGGCCCCTCGCCGCCAGCCCGGCCCCCCCTCCGGCCCCGCGAGCGGCCCCCCGCCGCCAGACCCCGCGGGCTCCGGGACGGCTCGGCGGGGCCGGCCGGGCGTCTGCGAGCATCTCGAGGGCTGCGCGGGCGCCGGCGGCCGGGCCGCTCCTCCCGGAGGATGCTCGCGGTCCCTCGGCCGCCCGAACGCCTCCTCGGATCGGCCTCGCCTCGCTCCGGGCCGCGCCGAGGCAGAAAGGCGTGAACCGCGGCGCCGTCCTGCGGCAGCCGCCGCCCCTCCGCCCGCGGCCCAGTCGAAAAGCGCGTGCGGGCGCTGCGCCGGGAGCTGCGCGGCGGGACGGGGCTGCGAGGCCAAGCCTCCATGGCGGTAAAACGAGAGCTCGCTCCGCGAGCGCGCGGCCCTCGCGGACGTGAGCCGGGCACCGACCGCCCGGCGAGGACTCTGCCGGGACCCGGGCCCGATGGAGGCCGCGAGCGGGGCTGCGCCATGGGGAGGATGAAGGAAGCGATCGCAGCGCTGGAAGGACGGCGAGCCGGGCGGGAGGCGGTCCTGCGGAAGAGCGGGATGTCGGCTGTGGTGATGTCCGGCTGTGGTGGCGATGGCAATCTCCACCAACCAGCAATCTTCTGAAAAGATGAGGTAACCAGTCCGATTCCTTTTGCCGGGGTGTCTGGCCAGGAAGGCAGAGCCCCGGGGGATAGGACCTCCTCCAGCAGACGTCCAGCTGCAGGAGGAGGCTCGACTGCCGGTCCATCGTGGCTCAGGCTGGGGTGCGGAACTCAGGTGGAGCTCCAGGAGCAGCTGACGCCAGCAAGGTTCTGGAGACGCTGGGTGAAGAGTCCGGAGGGCAGGAAGCGTGAGGGGCAGCTGAGGTTTCTTTTGGGTTGCCGGGTGGAGTCAGGAGTTGGACCCGATAATCCTTGTCCTTCTGACTCAGGATATTCTGTGATCCTTGGCAACCCCTGATTTCGACAGCTTCTGGTGATTTGGGAGTGCTGACTTGGACGCTTTGTGTCAAAAAACATGATTCATATTGAAGGTTATGAGTACTGCTGCAGCAGGGCAGTATTGTAACCAAATAAATGATCGAAGGGAAACTTTCTGAGGCCTGTGTTTTGTATGCAGGGCGGTGGGTGATCTGGCCCTGACAGCGAGCCCAGGCCTCCCTCGGCACAACTCACGCCTTCAAATGTTTCAGCAAAACCACTCCTCCCCACTTTCTGTCCCACAGGTGGTAAAGAGTAACTTGGTCTTCAGCAGCGCTTAAAGGAGTGCCTCTAAAAAAAGCATCAAGGAATGCAGGTAGCGAGGGAGAGTCTGCTAGTTCCCCTCCCCCACCAGAGAAACATTCTGTCAAATCCAGTCGAGAACAACGCAGTCCGGGACAAGCACAGTATGATTCTCCTTCAAAGCCAGCTGGGCCTTCTTGGTGCAGAGTGTTCAGCACTCAGCCTGCTAAGGCAGCAGCTGCAAACTGGAGAGCCTCCAGCAGGTGCCCTGCACGCCTATGTGGAGGGATCCTGCCAGCTATCACAAAACCTGGTTGAACTGCACGTGGCTGCCGGATTGAGCCTTTCCAGAGCAATCAAAGCCAGGAAACGAGCCTCGATTGGATATTTCAAGAGGCGCTTGTCCAAATACCTTCGTGCTTCTCTGAGCTCCCCCAGTTCCTTATCGTTTGGAGGCACTATGGGCACTGACTCGAATTTGAGCCCGATAAGCTTCATCGGATACTGGGGCAGTGATACAGGCTGTTAGGTCTGCAGTTCTTCCAAGGGACTGAGAGGAGCAGAGGTGCGATCTGGACACTAGATGGAGACAGCAGGATTAAGAATTGACACGAGAGCCCCGTTCCCTAACAGCGGGCGGATGCTGGGAAGCAAATTAACGAACTGAATGAAGTAACTGTCCTGAAACCGCCCGGGAGAACTGCTGAACCGAGAGCAGGACGCAAAGCGCAGTGCCGAAGAACCTGAAGGACGGAGCCTCTGAAGCGAAGAGACTTTATCTAAGGGAACGGGTTTTTGGTGGCTCGGCTCAGCACCGGCCGCTGTGCTCAGACGCCCGCCGTGCGCTCACGTTTCGCCCTTCCTTTGCCCCAGCCCCACCCGCTCTCTCAGGAGCGCGCCAGCTCCCGTTTAGGGCGCCGCTCAGCCTCCCGGCCCAGCCGTCCCGGCCCCGCGCCCCGACGCCCACCCGTCACGCGGCGGTACGCGCGGTCAGCCCGGCCGCACACGCGCCGAGCCGGCGGCAGCGCTGCCCGGCGATCGCAGCGGGAGGCGGCAGAGCCGAGGCGGCGGCCGGTGCTCGCGATGGATTCGTGCGGCGCCGAAAGCGGCGGCGCGTTACGGCGGAGCGGCGAGCACCGCAGCGGGCTTCGCGTCCTCCTGCGGAGCTTTCCGGCAGCCAGCCCCGCCTCTCAGCGCTTCGGTGCCGGCCGTTGCCGGGTGACCGGCGTGCTCACATCCGGCCTTGAGCGGAAGGGGTGGGGCGTCCTCACACCGCGCAGCCAATAGCAGTCCGCGTCGCTCTCCCGAGAGCCCGCCCTTTTCGTTCCCGTCCGTAAGCGTAGGCCCGCCAGTTATGCCAAACGCGTCACTTCGAGCCAATCGGCATCCTCTCTTCTCCAGATAAACACCTCCGCTGCCCAATGACGGGAGGAAACGGTAGAAGGAGGCGGGAAAAATCCGGCTCCTCTCGCGGGGGGCGCGGCAAGACGGCGGCGGGCGGGGCGTAAGGAGCTCCGAGCGCCGATTGGCGAGCTGGAAGGAGGCGCACCGCCGGGCGGCCAATGAGGGGCGGCGGGACGGGACGGAGCGGCGCGGAGGCGCGGCGGCGGGGCCCGTAGCGGTACCGGTACCGATACCGGTGGCGCAGGCCGGGCCGGGGCAGCCCGGTCTCGAGTGCCGCTCAGTGGAGCGGCGGAGCGGCTCGAGCCCGGCGACTGCGGGAGGTGCGGGCCGGCCGTGACCTCGCGGGGACGCAGCGCTGCCGGGCCCGTCCTAACAGCGCTTTGCTCCTTTCGGAAAGGACCTCGCGGCTCCGCGCCGCCCGGCCCGCCGCCGCCATGCCCCGCGCCCCGCGCCCGGCTCCGCGCCCGGCCGTCCCGTCCTCGTGGCACCGCGCCGTCCCGTGAGCGGCCGGGCGTGGGGACCGCGCTGCTCCGATCTGCGGCGTCCGGAGCCTCGGAAGGGCGGGGATGGGGGAGCGCGGCTCCGCGTTCCGGCGGCTGCGGGAGAGCCCCGATGGGAGCTGTGACGGGAGAGGGATCTGAGGAACCGAGCCGTGCGCGGAGCTGGAACCAGTTCGAACTGCTCGGGGAAGGAAGGAGCTTCGGGAAAGCCGGGATGGCCGTCAGCATGGATGACGACGTCCCGCTCATCCTCACCCTGGATGACGGCGGAAGCGGCGCCTCGGCCCCGCGGGACAGCGCGGATCGGGAGGAGCTGCGCGGCCAAAGTAAGGCGTGCTGCGTCGTTTCATTGCTGCCCAGCCAAAGTAAGGCGTGCTGCCTTATCTCACCTCTGCCCGGCTCCATGCCCGTGTCGGCAGTGCCGTCCTGCCCTGGACCGCAGCTCGGCACCCCGCGGCCGCCTGAGAAGCCGTGCCGGGAGCCGGCTGTGATGCAGCTCGGTGCGGGCAGAGCCGTGCTGCGGCAGGTGGGCAGAGGACGGGGCGGACCGGCCGTGCCTCTTCCAGCACGTTCTGTCTGTCCTTTGCACAGCGCGCTGTGGCTCCCTGCCGTGCCGCCCAGCTCTCCCGTGCTGGTAAAGAGCTGCTCCTCGCACCGGCTGTCCTGAGCTGCTGTGCCATCGCGATGTCAGGTGCAGCAGCTGCACTGATGTAACTTGCTGTTTTCCATGAGGAGCTGGCTTTTGCAGCCGTTGTTTTGCCTATTTCTAGTTTACATTCTGACTTCTGCAATAAGGACACGAATGTGTGCTGATAGACCTTAAAATCCTTACTGTGTTGCTATCAAAGAATCAGGAGTGTTTGGAGACAGTTTGTACGCAGCCCTGTTAAGCCAGCTGTTCAGTGGGACGCAGCCAGCCTTGGGCATAGGGAGCACAAAAGCTCCCATCGCTCAGCAGCTCTGCTTTCAGCTCAGTGAGCATTTGCTGGAGCCATTCCCCTCTGCAGGTGAGATGCAGACATTGGGTGTGTTAAAGCGTGTTTGTGGGCTCCTGCTTGATGTGACACCTCATGAATGTGCTTTAGCAGCTCTGTTGGATATATCTCTCGACTCTCAGCTGATGTTGCAGGTGTGCAGACCTGTACAACTCTTGTGATCCTGTGCAAGCTCTGCTTCTGCAAGCATAGCATTTCTATCAGTCACGCTGTTTCCTGGCCTGTAGCTCTTCACTGCACTGTGCCTCTTTTCCCCATCTCTGTGATTTCTGTGGTTTGATTTCCTCTTGCAGTCATACGGGTTCCCTTACTTATCTCCTCCTCTGACTTCCTGAGCTAGTTCCTGGTTTCTGACTGTCAGTTTTTCCTCTTCTGTCCCAACTCTACAGCACACATCTGTGGCTAAATCACCGCTCCGTCCTGCACTGCTGTTCCATCACATCTTCTTGTTTTAACTTAAGCAGGAGGCTGCATCCCTGTTTTCTCATGTGTTTATAGGCTTTTTACTGAATAACGTTATTCACTTTTCTGTCCTTTTTTCTTCCACCCTTTAAAGAAGTTACGTGTGTTTTGTCGTTTGATTAAAGCCAACAAGGTTGTGTTGAAGCATAAGCGTGGGAGTGAGCATATTAGTAAGTAAAAATAGTCCACAATTTGCTCCCTTTGAAATACAGGGAAATTGCTGAGGAACTAATTTTATGCTTCTTAGAAGACAGCTGTGTGGTTTTTGAGAACTCATTTCCTGGAATTCCTTGACCTGGGTGTCTCTAGATATTGAAGAACTGTTACTTCACTCTGTGTTTTTAATCAAGTTGAGCTTGCTGAAAAAAATATTAAGCCTGTTCTATGGAAGTGATTCTGGATTATATGAAGCCCTCTGAAGACAGCAGTGCTGCAGGCATGGAATGACAGATTGAGACCGGAAGGCTGGCATCAACACCTTGAGAGGCATCTTTATCTCTGCGAAAGGCGAGGCTTAAGCTAATGAGTGGACCAGTGCCATCACTTGCAAAATAGGCTCGTTAAAAAATGGGGCATGGGGTCCAGCTTTCCTCCTTGCTTGTGAAGAAAACGTTCTGTGCAACACAGAGAAGTTGTGTCTCCTGGAGGCTGTGAGGGATTCCAGCATGTCTCTGCTCTGCTGAGGACTGTAATGGCATTAACAAAAGCATGCACTTCTGTGTTCTTATCAGAGGCTTGTCTTCTGGAGGGATGAAGTTTGTGAGAAGTCCTGTTTTCAGGAGAGGTAAAGCTTGCCGGAGGGATGAGGATAGGGAAAATCAGAGAATAGGGAAAATCAGGAGCTATTTCCTTCTGTTTTATTTTTCTTATGCCTGAACTCTGATTAGAGAACACTGAGCCAGAGCTTGGAGCATCAGCTCAGCTATTACTGTGCCTGGCTGTGGGCTGCTGGGGGCAGGGTGGCAGGTTAAACACAGTGCATTTCTTCAGGTTTATCCCCAGGTAGCAGCTATTAGCAGCAAATCACCCACTGTCTGCTTCCCAGGTGACTCTGAGGGAAAGGCAAAGTGGCTGTGAGCACCTTATCAGCCTCCAGCATGTGATTTAGAGTAACTGAAAGCTGCGTGCCTGTTCTGTGTTGCTGTGTCGTTCACCACTCCAAACTTTAACCTGTATTCCAGGCTGTCTCAGCCCTCTCTCACCACGATGTGTGTTCAGATCTCACTACTGTTTTTTGTTTGTTTGTTTTTTGAAGGAACTTCTTGTGCCATTCTTAAGTTGATCCATGACACAGCTTTTCACACAGAATCACAGAATGGCCAGGGTTGGGAGGGACATCAAGGATCATGAATCTCCAGCCCCTCTGCCACACGCAGGCCCACCAACCTCCACATTTCACAGCAGCCCAGGCTGCCCAGGGCCCCATCCAGCCTGGCCTTGAACACCTCCAGGGATGGACGGGGCATCCACAGCCTCTCTGGGCAGCTGTTCCAGCACCTCACCACTCTCACAGTAAAGAACTTCCCCGTGATATCCAACCTAAATCTCCCCTCCCTCAACTTAACACTATTTCCCCTTGTCCTGCTGTTATCAACCTTTTCAGAGTTGATTCCCCTCCTGTTTGTAGGCTCCCTTTAGGTACTGAAAGGCTGCAATGAGTCACCCCACAGCCTTCTTTTCTCCAGGCTGAACAAGCCCAGCTCCTTCAGCCTGTCCTCATAGGGGAGGTGCTCCAGTCCCCTGATCATCTTCGTGGCCCTCCTCTGGACCCTCTCCAACAGCTCCCTGTCTTTTTTGTACTGGGGGCTCCAGACCTGGACGCAGTGCCGCAGATGGGGCCTCACAAGAGCAGAGTAGAGGGGAACAATCACCTCCCTGTCCCTGCTGGCCACCCCTCTTTTGATGGAGCCCAGGATCCCATTTGCCTTCTGAGCCACAAGGGCACACTGCTGGCTCATGTTAAGTTTTTCATCTACCAGGACCCCCAGGTCCTTCTCCACAGGGCTGCTCTCAAGGACCGCTCCTTCCAGTCTGTAGGGATGCCTGGGATTCCTCTGGCCCAAGTGCAAAACTCTGCACTTTGCCGTGTTGAACCTCATCATGTTCACCCAGGCCCACCTTTCCAGCCTCTCGAGGTCCCTCTGAATGGCATCCCTTCCTTCAACCGTGTCGACCGCACCACTCAGCTTGGTGTCGTCAGCAAACTTGCTGAGGGTGCACTTGATTCCATCATCGATGTCATTGATAAAGATGTTACAGAGCACCGGTCCCAAGACAGACCCCTGGGGGAACCGCTCATTACCGGCCTCCACCTGGACATGGAGCTTTTGCCACCAGATCCTTTAGGAAATGAATCTCTATTCTAGGCTCTGAGATTTGGTTGTCTGGAAATGCAGACAAATTACAAGGTTGAAATAAGTAGCAATAGAGTTCTTTGAAAACAAACTTGTTGCTGATGTAAAAAAGAAAAGACTGAGGAGCAAGAGTATGTTTCTTTCAGAATCTTGCAGGAGAGGTCTGTACTGGGTAAGTGATTGCTTTGGGATTGGAATAAAGGAGCTAAATGAGAAAATTATGTGAAAAATGGCATTCTTAAAGAAAATGTCCAGCTGCAAAAATTAATCTCCCTAATCA